GGAATATCAGCGATTATATTCAGCAGTTTTTCCTTGCTGCTGACAATGAAAAAGGCCGTCGAATGGAAGCCTATCTACAAATGAGTCCTTGTATTCGGGAAATTTGTCGCATTCTTATTAGCCTTGAAATACTATGCACAATTTCGAATGATCCGAAAATACAGCCAAAAAAGACGCTCAAACACGCTTATCACATGTGTATACCGATATGGTATCGTGGTTACTACGACGATATTTGTCAGACAAAGACGGTGAGGAAAACACGAGCGAGAAAAGTGTGAATGAATAAGGTGATAAGGAAAAGTTTGTTTTAGAAAAAGTAGCTTTTCTGTACATGTCAGGTAGCAGCTTATTCATCGGGCCAGATGCTTTTGCTACAGCTATTGGCTAGTGCTGTCAAGCTGGACGAACTAAGGAGCGTGATGAGATGAGAAAAGAAATGCTGAAAGTCGGTCCGTTCATCAAGATAGAAAGCGAAATGCCAGCTAAGTCAAAAAAAGTTTACAATTTTATTCATCATAGTTTTCAAGAGTTTTTCTGCCTAATAGACAACTCACAAGCCAAGATAAGATTTTTCGGTGAATTTATTACTCAGGCAACTGTAATTCCTCTGGCAGTCTTAATTTTATAAAGACGTCATCCGTGGGTGAAGAGAGCGCGCAAATTTTGGACTTTTTCCATTTTTAACTACTTAATGAGTAGGATATGTGCAACTTTTATAATCATTCATTCTTTTCCTTTTAATGTGATGATTTAAGAAAATGGAAGTAGACGAAAAGAAAATCACAATGGAAGCAACGGAAGAAGAAGAATTGATGCTACATCTTTTGCGCCAAGTGAAATACAAAGGACATTCAGATAGAATGGCGCAACACACCGATGAGACAAAGTGATTCTCTTTTATTCGATTATTAATTGTTTTTGTTGTACCTACAAGTAATTTTCTTTTTTGTAGATGAATGTCATTCAGGTTATTGCAAGCATCATTAAAAAGAAGCTCAAACATTGATACAATTGCAGAAGTTGGCAAAGTCCCAAAAATGTGAACGTCCAGTGGCGAGATCAACAATAACTAAATCAGCCAGTGATCACGAAGAAAATACAAATTTAGTAGAAAACGAATTGGACCAAAAAGCATTGGTCGATATTGATACGGAGGATTTGTGCAATTTTGTGCGTGAAGATATAATCGGCGGAAATAAAACGTCATCGTACCGCTTTCTGACCACATTTTGGAACTGTGGAGTTATTGCTGGGTACGATGAGATGCTCATGACCACGGATAGTAAGTGATCACATCTGAGCTTTATTCCTTCGTTTAGCGACATGATATTTTTTCGTGTTTCTAGTGAGACGTGTTTTAAGGCGCATTATGGATATCCTTTAATACGAACAATTGCCTGATGCCATGTGTTATGATAGGGCTTGTTCTATGTGCGTTATCCTTATTCGTAGGAAAACACACATGTAATTTGTTGGCATCACAGTGATCTGTGAAATATTTCACTGAAACTAACGAGAGAAGTACCCCAACTGATAAATCGCTTCTTGAAAGCTTGAACGCTTCTTGAAAAATTTCACTTGAAATTCATTTCGGTGTATTGATCGTCCATCTATCTGTTTCTATGTAGTAAAGATTTTCTAACGGTAATATTAAAGAAATCGGTGACAAAGGAATACTCAAATCTCATGCAATTCCAATCTCAAACATTTGATAAGCGACAATGAAAAACAAGATCCGAATGCCACTCGTCATTAACAGTACGCGAGAATAAATTGTTTTTTCCAAATAAAAAACTGCTGATGCTTAGTCATTGTCAGTAAATTCTTGTACGTTTCCATACTTACCAGAGACAGTCTCTTTTGGACGATCGCAAGCAGCCTAAAAAGTAATGCAAATCGGTATCCCGCACGCCTAAAAACCCACAACTAAGGATTTTAAACGATATACGCGGATACTTTTACCAATATTATTTTTTGCAATATAATTCAGAAGTTGGATCATATTTACTGACTGCTGAAATGCACTTTTCTCGTATGAAATGGAGACCTGCGGTTTTTACCGTTGGATTCAGCGTGTTGAGGTCTGCCAGGAAAAGTGCGTTTTGTAAGAGGCGCAGAAAGCAGAGACCCGAATACTCGAAGGGTGGGGGGTCAAAACCCCCCAAAAGATTTCTATCGTTTCTTGCTAGCTGAAATGAAAAACACTTTTAGTTGCTTTTGCTCGCGTAAAGCGAAGTTTTTTCTCACAACCTTCCAAAAACAATTTTCCCCATACGAGGTCTCAAACTTTTTTTATTTATAAACGGTTTATAAACTTGTTATGCCGAAATATATACGCACATTGTCACTGACTTACTTTTCGGTGATTTCTCACAACCTTTTCAAAATTTTTTTGTAAGTGTATGGCCTTCATACGAATGTATCATCATAACTCGTATGAAGGCCGTACACTCACGTGTATATTTAAATAGTCTTTACAAGTTACTCACATGTTACTAGCTATACTATGCATAAATGTCAACCTTATTTTTCATCGTCGATAAAAGATAAGGTCGACATTTATGTATAATTATACGTTTCAGTTATTGTGTTAGCGATTATCTTGGAATGTTAAAATAGTTATGTATTTTAAGTTTACTCCTTAGATGATGGGGTTTAATGCACGAGTCAGATATAGAAAGTGTCGTGATTATGGTGATGAAGATAAATATGTTTCTGAAGTCCGTTGTGGCGCAGAAAAACAACAACAATTTAACAGTTACTAATAGCCCAAGGCATCATGGCCGTCGCTTGTTGTTCTGACTGAGGATAAGATGGCATCGTGTGGTGGTTAGGAGACGAAGGATAAAGCTGAATAACCTCAAAACACATTTATAAAACTCTTTCGTTTTTCTATTCAGATACACTGATTACTAATCAATACATATTAGCAGCTGCACACTGTTTTACTATGGACGATCACCGAAAAGTAAGTCAGTGACAATGTGCGTATATATTTCGGCATAACAAGTTTATAGACTCTTTATAAGTAAAAAAAGTTTGAGACCTCGTATTGGGAAAATTGTTTTTGGAAGGTTGTGCGAAAAAACTTCGCTTTACGCGAGCGAAAACAACTAAAAGTGTTTTTCATTTCAGCTAGCCAGAAACGATAGAAATCTTTTGGGGGATTTTGACCCCCCACCCTTCGAGTATTCAGGTCTCTGCTTTCTGCGCCTCTGACAAAACGCACTTTTCCTTGCAGACCTCAACACACTGAATCCAACGGTGAAAACCGCAGGTCTCAATTTCATACGAGAAAAGTGCATTCTCTAGTAGTCAGTAAATATGATGCAAATTCTAGCGCTGAAAGCGACCAGAGGACGTGATGTAAAGCCTTGAGTTTAGCATTAGATATTCAATTCAAATATTTCGGTTAGTTCTATGTAACTCGACAAAAAACGTCGTTACGCCATTAACAGACACTGAGGAAAATATTTCTAATAAATGGTTTCTGGAAAATCAGGTTTATCAATAACCTCTATCTCACGTCTTAGCAATTCCACGTGAATTTTGTGAAAACTTCTAAGGATACCTCCGTTCTCCGAAGGCGATAAAAGTTTGAAGTTTATTTTTATAGAGAGAATTCTAGAGCAGAATGAAAGTTAGAATAGACGGTTTTTGGAGTTTACATAACTCTCAGAAAGTTGCTCAATTTCACCTGAATATTCTAAAATTAATGGAAGTTTTTACACGTTTTGCTCCACACGAGCAGCGCTGATAAACTTTTTTGATTAATAACAACAGAACTCGTCGAGATCTTTCATTTAAGATTAAATTCAAGGATTTACGACATGTCCTTGGGACTCTGTGAGCTTTGCGAAATAGGTCATTTCCGCTGAGAAAGCAGTTCGAAAGCATTTTTTCGAAAAAGCAGAGATCTACGTTTTTCCACCATTGGAATCGGCATTTGGAACTGGGCGAAACATCTAGGCGAAAACAGAATGTTTAAAACGCCTCAAAAGACGGAAATTAGACTCGAATCTGAAAGAAGACTGAATTTTATAACAGATAAGTCTAAAAACTTTTAATTATCTCAATATGAAACGAAGAAGAAGAAAAATAGTCACGGTGATGCAAAAGTTTGACTTTATAACTTAGAAATTAACAGTGCGAGGCACACACTCCCTTAGAAGGTTGTTAGTACTTCACCTTAACCCTCATTTGCAAGTGATCCTTTTCTACAATGTTGTACGCTGGCGGAGATAAATCGATGCCACGCCACGATGTCGAAAATTATGGATGATGCTACATATTTGATTTCGTAGACGATCGATTCACATTTTTTTCACGTTACCGGTGACATGAGAGATGGAATCAGAGTCAAATAATAGCCTGCTGCGCTCCTGAAAAAAATTTCTAGTGGCCTTCAGAAGGAGTTTTGTCGCGAAAATGGGACAACTAATCGCATGAAAGAAACCTTTTTGACTGTGATAGGTGGGATGGCGGTCATGATGGCGTTAGAAAGAGCTCGAAAGAGTTCTATCAGTTGATGCAGACCGCAGTCGTCTAGCACCTTCAGTTCTCCAGATATAGGTACAAAACTTTCGGCCATTTTCATTTTTCCTTTAATGTAGCCGGTAATTTAATTAGCGTCCTAATTGCTGATACACACCAATTTCAAAGTTAGTTGGGCATGACTTTTTCTAGATAACTACTAATACTTTCTGACCCTTCTCACGTCATTCAAAGTGATTTAAACGTCAGTTAATGTAGAAAAATAGCTCCTGTTTTATTTCACTTATAATTGAGGAGTTACCGGACCTAACGAAAATGTTTTTAGTTCAAAACGTTTCTTCCGGCCTAGAGTATATGATTTCATAAAACAAACTCTTGAAATGTGTGCGCTCTAAAAGATGAAATTCCATACTTAGCTTGTTCGCTGAATTAATTGATAAAAAAAGAAGTTTAGCAGAAGTGTAAACAAAACGAAAAACTTTAAAAGGAAATAATAGTCCGAATTACTGCTTAAGTGTTAATTTCCTTACTATAAGTATGCCAGTGTCGTTATCTATCAGCTTTGTCTGAAACTGTCCGTTAACTGGTAAGGAGAGTCGGTAAGCGGCATCCTTGCCTGTACCATGACACAGCGCGTTTGCTGTTCCATCACATTTTAGTTGAATATTTGTTGTTCTAATGCGTATGAGATTAACTGTTGGTAATGGATTTCGAAAAGAAACAAAACTGTAGGTAATTGTTCCAGCTTGATCACAGTTCCACACACCAATTGCATTACCAGTATAATCTTCATTGTTAGGTGATGTAAAGATGAGTCCATTTTGATAGAGTGTAATCGTAGCAGCAGCAAGAACAATTTTACTGTTCGAGATGTTTACATTGATTAAATAAACTCCGGCATACTTGACATGGCAGGGTTTGATTTCAGGTGAACCGTAGAGACGACTAGCTTTGAATGTTGGTGAAGAACTGTCCAATATAGTTGCATCGCGAAACGGTGGTCTCTGGTATTGAAGTGGAGCGTAACTAGATGTTTGAAATCCAGTGCAATTGTTATACCCTCCTGATGAAGCTTTCGATGAACATTGCATGTAGAAGTTGGATGTTACAATTTTCCCTCCGTTGGTGTCAGTGTTTGATGGATAGCTAAAGTAATTTGCTTGACCACTGATGGATAGAGTGTTCGTGCATTCGTAAAAGCCTAGAAAGCGTAAGTTTTACACAGAAAAGGGCTTCTAGGTAGCAGTCTGTTTCGAAAAAGGGTTCATCCTAAACTGTGAACTTACCGACTGCTGTGCCTAAATTAAACGTGCCATCTGAATTACGTTGATTTGATGTTATTGTAAGTATATAGCCCAATTCGGTGAAGCCCATAAGAGGATTTTCGTAAATCGGGTAATCTTTTTTTTGGAACATTCTGTCTTCGTTTTTTGACTTCGATTTGCTGCTGTGTCTCCCTCAGTGGAACAGAGTAGTGCAGTACAACATTTCAGATTATTTCTGCAGCTGTACACAGGTGTCCACGAGGTTTTGCGAACTGCTTCTAATACTGTAAACACCGCCAGCATACTTAGCAATGTAAACGCCACTCATTCCGTCGTTAAATGTATACAGCAAAGACGACATCCGTCATTTCTAAAGACAAAGTTATACTTTGCTAAGCGTGTCCTTGATGGATGCTGCCATAACATTTATCTCTTCCATTCGGATCTGTCGAAACAGTTTTATGTGTCTCTAGTCGTCTCATATCAAAACTTGTCTTTATTTTCGGTGATAATGGGTTGTGGAAACGTCCAGTTTTGAAGTCAACTGCTTGGTACTTGTAATGTCGACTAGTTTGAAGGCCATCCGAACAGGAAACAACGCGGTCACTGCAGTCATCAACGGCACCACGACAAACAATTGTTGAATGGGATACAATAATGCTTTTATTACCAGACTGACCGTATGAAAGTGTATTAAAGGACAATTTCTTTTGACCTTTTCCTTCTCCTTCACAGCTATACAGGCCATTTGTATCACTAACATACTGATTTTGAGTTGTCTTTTCATCCGACGTAAACAGAAGAACGCCACCCAACGGGAAGAAGAATATCAGGCCAAATGCAGTATCGTCGTACTTTGCCAGGTACACACCGCTGATGTTATTAAAGCATGCTGGGAGTTTCACATCGGCTGGAATTACTGTTGGTACAAGTGAAAAGCTTACTAGTACAATGGCGGTAGTGATCGATGAGACCAACATAGTTTCTGTTTACTGTCTTGTTTTATGTATTGATGAGATGCGTTCAATCTACTACTCTTAATACTCAATGATGGCACTTATTCTTCTCATATATACCGTAAAATTTAGCATCTCTCTTTCTGTCTGTCTCATATTAAAACAACAAAACTATGATTTTTTCCATCTCAAATGTTTGCATATATATTATGAGTGCACCAGGTAGCTGTGTATCGTTTGATAAACGTAAGCACTTACTTGATCTATCTTTTCTGTTCTAATCATGTGGCGCACTTTGTACCTAAAACCCTTTGTATACTAAATAATGCGCATAATCAATTTTTTTCCTTGATCAGTACTCAAAAGCACCATAGAAAAACCGTTCAAGTCTGTTGCGCACAGGTGTATATCCCTGTGTTGTTTGCATTTAACTCTTACACTAAAGGAACGAATCTATAGATTTACCATTCAGTACAATATTCTAGCAGCAATCCTTTTTGTTCTAATATGAGACAGGTAGAAACAGAGACGCTAAATTTCGCGGTATATACGAGAAGAATACTAACAGTAGTGGACTAAACGCATCTCATCAATCCAAAAAACAAGACGGTGTACAGAAACTATGTTGTATCAAGTTCGTAAAAAAGTGAAAATAAATTCCACATAGAGAACAAAATCAAGCATTCTTTTAAAACAGGGGTGTCTATTCCCACCTGAATATTTGAGACATTTTATACCACCCGAAGGTTCAGTCACTCGGTGTACCATCTAAAAAATTAATTTCTGCAGCAAAAACGTGTACCACCTTACGTTTTATTTGAAGCATTACGCCTCAAACATTCCACAAGATAGACGCCCCTGTTTTAAAAATAATCACGTCTTCCTTAATCTATCAAGTTCTAAACGATGCAATTAAAGTCAAAACAGACTGCAGACAGAATGATTAAACTTTAATTTACACGTTATACATGAGATAAAATAAGCAGATTTCAAAGTAGAAAATAGAAGTATTCAAGAGAAAAAATACAAAACACGCAATAACCGTGAATCGCAGGTTCATCGATATTTCAACGAGTTGTCTTAAGTTAGTTATCTATGATCTTCTTCTTTCTAAGTCATACAGTAGGTTTCTCGAACGCCGTTCTGTGATATCGACTATGATAACTAACTTAAGACAACTCGTTTTTGCTGCAGAGATTAATTTTTTAGATGGTACACCGAGTGACTGAACCTTCGGGTGGTATAAAATGTCTCAAATATTCAGGTGGGAATAGACACCCCTGTTTTTAAAAGAATGCTTGATTTTGTTCTCTATGTGGAATTTATTTTCACTTTTTTACGAACTTGATACAACATAGTTTCTGTACACCGTCTTGTTTTTTGGATTGATGAGATGCGTTTAGTCCACTACTGTTAGTATTCTTCTCGTATATACCGCGAAATTTAGCGTCTCTGTTTCTACCTGTCTCATATTAGAACAAAAAGGATTGCTGCTAGAATATTGTACTGAATGGTAAATCTATAGATTCGTTCCTTTAGTGTAAGAGTTAAATGCAAACACAGAAAATCAATTTTCTACCCTCACCCTCACACAACACTGCTTGTTTTGATGAATAAATTTTTGTCATTATTGTTTTTTTATCCCATAATTACCGTAAGAGAAAAAGATGGAAATATTACACTCATAACGTCAGTATAAATATTATGCTAACTACCCAAAGTATTATGTTTGAGTCACGTTTTTCATTTTCTTGATAGTTATGCCCTTGCTAAACACAGGTTCCGGCAAGAAAGGCAATAGTGTCTGATCGTCTCAGATCCGCCATATTGTCAAAGTTCTTTTAGTAACCAAAAGTCTTCGAAAAATATCATTACTGAAAATAGGAACGTCTACTGTCATCTGATGGACAGCGATATCAGCTGTTCTGTTAATCTTTTAATTCAGTTCCAATGCTGCAAAAGATACTTTCCAAACGGGATACATTTAAAACCTCCTAAATTTAAGGGGAGAGGGAAGTTATCTTATATAAGAAGAATGAGAGTGAGTTTCATCGCAGAACTATAATCTTAACAAAACGTGACTGACTTACGGAAAAGTGAACCGTTTGTCCCGGTTTTCCAAACAGTTTTTCAGAAAATTTTTAATCAATAACATGGTTTTCCAAGTTTTTCGATCGTATAATCTTGTTAAATGGACAACTAATCATATCGTGAAGTTTACAACTTGTTCTGATACTTTTTGAGTGAACCCTGGAGTTCCAAGAAAGCCCAATACCACGTCTGAACCACTGGAAATCAAGGTCGTAGTCTGACTCCCGCTTTTAACAGGACATCTTAGGCTATCTGTTTATAACGAAAAATGAAAATGGTCGTGATTTGAGTTTTTGAGCTATGAACTGGTTTTTCAAAGATCTCCCCGGAAATCTACTGTAGAAAAACGTTTTGAATTAATGTCTGTTATAAAAGATGCCTCAAAGCCTCTTCTTTTGAATGACAAAAATTCGAATTCTCTAGCTCTTGTCATTCTCGAGTTATTCAACAAACAGCCACAGTCTTCATCATTTAAAAAGGATGGTAGAAATTTCAGCAGGAGAAAAGAGAAAATGTTCGTCCGACTTTTTAAAGTTTTCTGATAGAAATATTCATCCAAGAATATGTTAGCGAATCGTTTGAATATTCCTTTGAAAAAAACATTTATCTTGTATTACTTTACTGAAAAGTAATACTAAGCTTATGAATATTCCTATTACCAGCAACAGTAATACTGAAAGTAAGTATTACTGTTACTGGTAATAGGTATACATATAATATTTGTATTAATGGTAATAGTAATTTGCCACCCCTATTTATAATAACGACGCGAAAAAGAGCTGCTGTATATCGTCTCTCTAGCTAGTTTAAAGTTTAAATTTATTTTGTCATAGATGTGAGAGATAGTGGAGATAAGCAAAAAGTTTAAACAAGTGAAACTTCGACGAAGCCTAACCGAATATAAGAAAAAAGTAAAAAAAGAAAAAAAATAACAATAAGAGTAAGTTATGGCTTATAAATCATACTGAAGTGTTCTACATTAAGTCACACTAAATAGATATTCACACAACGCGTATCTGAACGAATTTGTAGAAAAAGCAGCAATAATCTTTCGTGGCAAAATGTTCCAGTCTGATACAGTTTTTGGTATAAAAGATGATGAGGTGTTTTTAGGTTTAAATTTTGGAATTTGCCAAAGACATCTATTGGATGTTCTAGCAGATGTTTGAGTAGTTAGAGGTTTTATTAGAGAAAAAGAGCTGAGTGCTGTACGTCCTGTAATGAGTTTATGAAAAAAAGTTAATGACATGAAGTACTTAATATAAATGTATGTTTTACATATACATCTGAAAAATATTTACTATAGACCGTAAGCACACAGAATTGTATTAAAATTACACAAAATTTTAAACTTGAATTCTCTAAGAACAAAAACTCAATATATAGACTGAATAATAATAATAGGGAATAGAATGGTAAAGCCCACCAATAAAAGGTGATTTTTGTTAAATATAAACGTAAAATTAAATTGAATAAATTCCACCTTAGAATTATGTACGGAAATTTTTGAATTTCTCTTGGTATGTATTCAAGTCTCGATAGTGCTAGACATAGTTTTACAAATAAAAATAAATTATCTGATTGTAAAACTGAATATAGATAATAAAAAATAATAAAAGCATAAATAACAATCTATAGTATCCGTTAATGTGATTATAATAAATGAAATAGGTAAATTTAATTTATAAACAGTAAAAATAAATTTGAATTGAAGTACACTGCAACACAGAACTATTATTGACAGAATATAAATGAAATTTCTTGGCGTAAAAAATAGAAAAGAAAAAAAACTGTACAGTTGACATCTGTCCGACTGTTTTTTCTATATGTATATGTGTGAGTGTTTTCCTCTACTGCAATGAATGTATTGTGGCCCTGTTAACTAGCCCGTGTGGCCGCAGCATTTTCACACTTTGCGAAATAGATACTTTTTTCTTGTTTCTATACATGGCATTTTTTTTCAGTTCATTGAGGTGATAAAGCGAGAGAGTGAACATAGGTTTTTTTCTATTCCTTTTCTGAATACATACAGTGGCTACAGTCGATTCTTTTTCTTGGTACCGTATAATCCAATACAGTATAAGGACTGACAATACAATTACCTTTCTAAGTCAGTACTCCACTTGGGAAATCACCAACTTCGGTGCCAGTCAGTGACAGAAAATAGTAAATAGAAAAAAAATACTGCATTTGATGGAAAACAAATCGCAGCTGACAAGGTCCAGAGATGGAGCAGTCGGAAGTTGGCTACATCCGACAGCATAATTAGAGAAGAAAAAAAATTGCGTTGTGTTCATCGTCTGAACCAATGTTTGGATCAGGCCAGATCAATGTCACACTTTCTTTGTTTTCGTCATTTTATGTTCTCTCCCTAAGGGCAGTCGTCGGTGGATGAAGTGAAGAAGAAGATGCTCCTGGAGCGAGCGGGTTGTGCATTTTTATTAGTTTTTGTGTAAGAAGCTGATGTTGTTCTGGATATTTCTGTTAGTGCTGATAGAGGAGGTGTTGACTTTGTGTCATGCTTTTGTTGCTCAACGAGTATTTTTGAGAAGCTGAGGACCAGGATGAGATTGTCGCTTTAGTCTTAGAGTTCATGTGTGGTCGTTACGGTGTTCTAAAAGTGAAGAGTAGAAGGGGCGAGATGTGTGGTATTCTAGCTTCACGACTGTATCACATAACTATCAGTCTCTCTTCTCATGCTTTATTAGAAATAAGAATGATGTTATAGTGAAGACATACACGATAATGAAACATACACATACCTTCAGCGTATAGACATTTATTCACTTGACCTAAAACTTTTCTCGCTGTGGACTATTTGTTTAGTTTGTGGTGAACCGAATATATCAGTGAAAGAATAATAAGTGTTTTCGTTGTGAGAAAAGGGAATGAAAATAAAAGCGATGGAGAAAGAGTATTTATTCCAGTTGAAA